ATTTATTCTTATTTCACTTTATTATCACTTTGTGGCCCGCGTGTGATAGGGTCCTTAAAGGGGAGGACATAGGGTGGTAAGAGCATAATACAGATTCTCCATAGCAAAATAATTTTCTGTAGAGGGAGCTATTTTTAAATGTTGTTGGTGAATTGATGGCAATAGGCTGTGCTTATAACTAACAGGCTGCAGTTCATATAAAGATTCCTAAATGGATCAGTCTACAATCCAGCATCTTTTTTTCCTTACTATGGCCAATCCATAAGCAGGGCATGAGGGCAATAGATCTGAGCCACTGTAGCTCCCTAGCAATTCAAACTAGAGATAGCATACAGTTATTGTGATGTGTAACCATACTGAGAAATAGACATCCCCCATAAATTTGTTCCATATCTTACAAGCCATCATGATATCTTGAAACAAGGATTTTTTTTAAAAAAAAATTAACAGTTTGCTCCAGGCCCACCTCCAGAAACACCCAAAGAGAAGAGTTGGAGTTGCCTGTAGGAGAATCCATAGAAAGACTGTTAGGTCTTAGCATTGTTGATTGAAGTAGGAGAGGAATAAGGTAGGGTCAGAGGCTGCATCTGCACTGTAGACATAATGCAGTTTGACATTGTTTTAACTGCCATGGCTCTATGGTATGGAATTCTGGGATTTGTATTTTTGTGAGATATTTAGCCGTCACCGTTAGAGAGCTTTGGAGCCACAACAAACTACAAATCTCAGTATTCCAAAACATTGAACCATGGAAGTTAAAGCAGTGCCGAAACGCATTATTTCTGCAGTGCAGATATAGCCAGAAACACCGGGAACAGAGGCTGGGACGGAAATGAGTTATGGTACACAGAATAAAGACTTTCTCCTCTCATTAGATATATTTAGTGTGACTGAATTCTTTTAAGGCAGTAGTGAAAAAGAATATAGCATACCTTCCAATGTTCCACAGATGAAAGACACAGTATGTATGGTCAAGATGGAAAAAGTTATTAATGAGGAAGAACACACAAACTAGGAGATGCTGCAGCTGTTTGCTTTTGCCCAAGCCTACTGGGAATGACATGATTCTTCTGTCTCTTCCTCTCTGCTCCCCTTTGCTGATTAAATTGAGTGCAAGGTAGTGTTGCATTTTAAACTCATTTTGCAGCAGCTGAAGTGAGCCAGGACAAAAGAAGAAAGTGGGAGGATGGAGAAAACAGGACATATTTTGAAAAACATCTGAAGAAGTGAAGAAGGATTACTTGGGACTGTCCCTAGAACAGTTGGAGGGTAAAGTATGCTACAGCTGGGGAATCTTATTCAAAGGAACTGTGGATTGATAAACCTAGTCATTGTTTCTAAATTCTGTGGATTCTGGCCAGCTCAAAAAGTAAACACCCTGGTGAGATGGTTTAAAAAGTTCTAAGAAGGAACAAAATTTGGGATAATATATATATATATATATATATATATATATATATATATATATATATATATATATATATATATATATATATATATATATCTTTCTGAGCTGGATTAGAGCGGCTCCTGCTGCTCATTGAGAAAGATGTGACATGATGCAAACTGAGGCATGCGAACTAATCTAAAGATGATATATTCAGAGTAAAGGGTTAGGGTGTATGTTGCTGATACATATAGTAACACAAAGGAAATCCCTTGAATCTCTGTCTACTGCAGTAGTGGTCCACTGTACTGACAGGGCAACTTGGGTTAACTTCAGACATCAAGAATACAAAGTGGAGTTTACTTATCGAATTAAAAGCCTTGTTGCTTTTGACACATGTCACTATTTCCTGTATTGGGGACTTCAACTTGAAGAAAAGCAGAGAGTTCTAGATACCTCTGTGTGACTGAAAACTCTGATAAAATAAGGTTGCTTATCACAAGGTGGGTGAGTTTCTAATTGTCTTCAAGCAATTGTTTTCTGCTGTGGTGGTTTCTACTTTGTAAAATGCCTTGCCATTGGATGCACACATGGCTCCTTCTCTGTCAATTTTCAAAGGGATTGGATGTTCACATTTTCAAATGAATGGCTATCCTGTTTTATTTTATATACTGCCGTTTCTTCCTGATATTTCAATTATTTAAAGTTTCTGCTTTGGTGGTATTTTATTATTTGTTCTTATGTGCCTTCATTTCTGATTTATGGCAACCCTATCATGGGATTTTCTTGGCAAGTTTCTGCTGAGGGGGTTTGCCATCCTCTGAGGCTGAGAGGGTGTGACTTACCCAAGACCAGCCAGTGGGTTTACATGGCTCAGCTGAGATTTGAATGCTGGTCTCCAGAGTCATAGTCCAATGCTCAAACCACTACAGTCAAGAAATTAGCTCATAAAGTGACTTGTCTCAAAAGATGGTACAATATTTTAAGTAACACTGGACTTCCAGCTTTTTCCTTCAGTCCTAGTTATTGAACTACTGAGTTCTACATTTGTTATGTGTGCCAATACTTGACATATATAGTCTATATTTCTGCATGCACATGGGCTAGGCAGCCTCAATTGACCTTGATGTATCAGTGTGTGAAATAAACATGTTAACTACAGTCAACTTCAGTTATCATATTATCTACATATGAAGTAGGTTCGTATTGCAATATAGAAATCCTCTCCTTGTAGAAAAGTAGTAAGGTTTGACTCAATCCTAGAACTTTTATATAATTAAATACTGGAATGCTACATTTGTAGGAGTGATGCTTTCAGTGATTTACCTCCCTCTTCTGGCCAAACTAAGAACTATATGAGTTGAGCTGAAATGTTACAGAACATATGCAGTGGCTCTCAAAATGGTGGATGGGACCCCTGAGACTCCTGAGTTACTCAAGGGGGGCACGAGACTTGGAAGCTCCAAGTTTTGTCAGCTTCTTCTCCCCCCAAACTTTTTTTTTTTTTATAAATTACACATGTGTTAAATATTTAATTTATTTTAAAGAACTATTTTTAATTTGAACATCATATCCTTTTAAAATGTTAAAATATGAATACGCAAATGAAAATAAGCACACTAAATAGACAAAATGTTTTATTCCAGTACTACATTGAATGGGGAGAAATATCTGCATGTAGATGTGAAAGGGAACCACAAGGGTAAAAGTTTGAGTACCACTGTATTATGGGATTTACTAGTCTCAGTCCTTGAATGAATAAATTACAAAGGAAGACTAAAAAGAGGAACAGATGAACTAAATTATATTTACAAATTGCAATCCATTAACTAAGGTATGTGTAGACAATGGCTTCATGGTACACTACATATATTAATGCAAGAGTCCTCACTTTTGTTGTTTACTGTCCTCAAGTCGATCCTGACCCACTCCGTAGATGAGACATCTCCAATAAGTTTATCACATGGGGGAAATCCCATGCAGAAACAAGGTTTTATATAGAAAAAGCCTGCAAAAGCAGATAGATTTTCAGACAAGGTCACTGTTAAAGTGTGCTTGACCCAAATGGAAAGTAGTCAAAAGCTGCTTCTTTTTACTTTCAGAAAATCCTGAAAGTAAAAAGGAGCAGCTTTTAACTACTTTCTGTTTGGGATAAGAACACTTTAACAGCAGTGTGTGTGGAAATCTACCTGCTTTTGCAGGTTTCCCCCATCTTTTAAATCCTGTTCCTGCATGGGATTTCCCCCATGTGATAAGGTCCCAAAACTCCCAATCCTCCACTTTTCTAATTAGTTCCTGCAAACTCATATCTGTGACCTCCTTAATAGAGTCCAGCCATCTAGCATGTGGCCTTCCTCTCTACTTCCCTCCACCTTTCCTAGCATTATTTTTTTCCAGCCAGTCTAGCCTTCTCATGATGTGTCCAAAGTTTTGTCAGTTTTGTCATCTTGGCCTGTTTTGTCATCTGGAATGTCATATAGAATGGCCTGCCAGATGAGATCCGTCTTATCACCACTCTTGCTGCTTTCAAGAAAGCAGTAAAGACGGATCTCTTTCGGCAGGCCTTCCCAGAATAACAACTGCTATAAGGAGTTGAGTTTTTATCCTGTCTCATTGGCACAATTGCTCAGTTGTTTTTAGTATAAAATTTTAACTGTATTGCTTGTT